TCAGTGTAGTAGACTAGTAAATTAAAATGTACATTAGCTCCCTGGGTTCACGAGCCACAAATGCATATATTCTAAAGCTCTAACCAGTCCACTTTTCCTTTGTTGTAAGACAGAGTTCTTCCTATTTGTGTATCTCATAAAAACTCATATCAGCTTAAACTTCCTTTAATACTTTTTCTTTCTTTTTCTCTGCATTCTCAACTTATCAATAACTCATGTCTCAATTTCTCTTAACCTTGAAGCACAATTTCCACCTTAATCTGGGCATCTTATACAAAATACCTTTTTACCTTCTCATACTCCACAAATATCTATAAAAGAGTTTATATCTATTTTTGGAAATGGAATTTCACAAGATGCAATATTTTTAAATTCCCACAGGTATTAACAGAAGTTCAACTGTTAGACTAAGAGGAAGGAATCAGTGGGATTCAAATAACATCTTCTACATTTATATATTATATTCAAGCTATCAGAATGACCATATTTTCCTATATGACCCTGCTCAAGTTTAAAGATACTCAGAGGAGAGCTCTTCCTCAGTACCATTGCTGCCTCAGGTATATCTGGTAAAGATAAAAGAGAGCAGCCTTCTCAATGACTACTTCCAGATTGTGGTATTTTTCCCATGGAAGGCCAGACTGGCCCTCTCTGTTCCCCTACAGCTGCCCCCCCCCAAAAAAAACCATTTTGTTTATATAGGCTTTTGGCTGTTGATTTATGCAAATGGGACTTTTACTGAAAAGTGATTACATTTTCTATTTTCATTGTTATGTTTTTAAATGTTCTAATTATTTTAATTTACTGCTTTTAAAATCCTTTTTTTTAAAACTTGTCTTGGGAGCAACACTGGATCCCACAAAAGTGGGATATTAAAAAATAAAGTTGTACAACCATAAAATGCTATCTCAAGGTATGTTACAAACAGGTAAAAAGGACATATATACAATTTTGCTTTTCTAAATACATGAGCACACTTTCAAGTATTTCTAGTTCAATCAATATGTAGAAAGCTTTTTTCTAAATACACCTTCATGCATTCCAAGGACACTTTGCATTCTTTATCAGTGACCCAAATATCTCCACAGCTGTAAATTGTTATTGCTTTAATACTGGAGGAATGTAGACTGATGTTCAGAAATAAAAACTCAAACTGAACAACTTACTAACATGCACGGCCTCATTCACTCCAAACTTAAAACATCTTGACAGCATTATTTAGCTGCTTGTCTTTTTAGTTAAATGTGTAGCTATTCTTCCATCCCTTTCCCTACTGTATTAATTTGTAACAGCTGAAAATGATCCCACAGTTATAGAAAGAAAAGTGGAAGCCATGTTCACAGCCCTTGGGTAAAATAAATCACAAGTGTATCAACAGAATTGCTTCAAACTAGAAATGTTCAAGTTATATTCCAATCTCTAAGAAAGATGACACCGAGGGTCACAGCAACTATAGGATCTTTGAAAGCAAACAGACGCTCAAAATGTTTCACTTTTCATAGGTTCTCAAACCATCTTTCAAACCATCATTCAAAAATTGCAAAAGCATGAAAAATTGGAACCTTCAATGTTTCCATAAGCAATTTATTTATTTGATTTATGAAATGGAATCAAGACATACGTTGCTTGCTATAAAAAGGACGTTCAAGCTTAAAATGAAAAGGGAATTTGTACTGAAAAGTTTCAGAGTTGGAAATACAATTTAATTCCCAGTGTTCTCAGTCAGGATGGAAATACAGAAAGAAAGTCAAAGTTCTGGGAAAATGTGGATCAACTTGTACCCCAGTAACTAATAAAAATATTTAAATAAATATGCAACTTCATGTAGGTAAGTTACTTCTTAGAATGAATTTATATTTGGAAAGGGTACAAGGGTACAAGGTAGGCATGAGCAAACCACAGACCTTCTTCAACTGCAACAATTCCTAACAGCCGGTAAGCTGGCTGGGATTTCTGGGAGTTGAAGTCCAAAAAACCTGGAGGGCATCAGTTTTCCCATGCCATGCCTGATCTACAGTGAAGTGGTTTTAATGTTGGACTGGGACTCTGAAAGTCCACAGTGTGAATCCCTGTCCCTCTCCAAGGAAACCCACTGAGTGAACTGAGGCACCATGCATTACATGGCCTTGTATAAGATTACAATGTTATATTTAGTAAAGCATCTATAACTTCAAGACTCAGTCTCTGTAATACACATGTCTACATTATTTGTGCACATAAATGTATGTATCCTTGTGTATGAACTATAGTAATTCTGTGCTGTATCTCTACCAAATGCTACAGGGCTGGAAACTTATGACCATCTGGATGTTTTCAGTAAGAACTCCCACAATCCCTTGCCATTGGTCACATTGTCTGGAGCTTGCAGGAGTTGAAACCCAAACATCTGGAATGCCAGAGATTCCCTAGCCATTACTGAACCAGAGTGTTCCTGGTTAGAATTCCAGTCATCCATGCCCCTCCCCTGACCCTAGTCCTATGACATTTTGAGGGCTGGAGTAAGCAAGTCCATTCTCCTCCCTTAGTTTCCCATTTTCATCGAGAAACAGTCAATTCAAGCTTATACCCTTGTAGACAGTACAGTTGGTCTTTCAGGTCTGCAGGTTTTACATTCACACTTTCAACTGTGAACTTGCTTTGCCCTGCCTGCCTCCCAAAGTGTGAGTGGCAGCCCCAGCCTCAGGAGCTGAGAGAGTGAGGGAACATTCACAGTGTAGGACCCAGCTCCTGAAGACAGAAACACTCAGTGAATACCGCAGCAGTCCCATCCTTAGGAGGTGATGGGGGGAGGAGTCATTGCCACCCATGCTCTGCCTCCTGATGACAGGAAGTGAAGGAGGTGACTGCATTTTGAGAAGAAAAAACAACCCTACATTTGCAGCACTCCAACATACACACCATAGTAGCCCAATAAACAGAAGGCATGCCCATTACGTCCAAGAAGACATGAAAGGGTAGCAAAATTAAAGCTAAGAATATAAGGTAACATAAGTACTTTTAACATGCGTATTATAACTTATCAGTGTTACCAGAACATTAGACTGGAACACAGTCTGTGACTTTATGTTAGTAATCTACAAATGCGTACATACAGTTCTGAATAAAACAGTATAAAGTTACTAAAGAATTCATGTATCTATTTTATAAGCTTCAGTACTAGACCTCTTCATACAAAAAAAACCCTGATATTTCTCTAAAGCGTTTCCACAAGCATTACTAAAATGAAGCAGAATAGAATGGCTCTGACTTCTACAGACTAGTACTGCAGGACAGCGATTACACACAACAGAGGAAGGGTAAGAAGTAACAGAAACAGAGTGAAGGGCTGTAGTAAATGGTGGAATACATGTTTTTGTTCAATATCCACATAAATCAAGGAAATACTCCTAATCTGCACCCTGCAAAGCTGCCAATAATATCGAACTACGCAGATCAATAGTTTGACTTAGCATAAGATAGCTTTCTAAATTCTACATAAGTAAGCTGAAGGTGAAAAACAGCACAAGGAGAAGGACAATGTGTTAGACATTTGAAGAGTAATGCACGCTGAACAGAAAACACTTTCCTGTGCATAAAGAGATTAAACTAATGGGAAGGTTATGATGCTACAACTTTTTCACTTAAAGTACCATAGGCAGGAAGATAAAATTGAACTATGTTCTCCACACAAAATCATTTTACCAACCTACTTGGAAATTTAGTCATTGATTGTAATTTTAAGAGTCTTAGTTACAAAGAACAGTTTGAATTACTCAGAAGCCATTCTAGTATTGTTACACTAAAAAGTGATTTGTAAGGCAATTATATTACCAGGAACAAGATAAATTTTTTTTGTCAAAGAAACAGAATTTATTTCTTAAAGCAAGAACTATCTGAAGCCCAAATTCTAATTGTGGTGGTTCATGGGCGGTAAAACGCTTGTCCTTAAAAACAGTTTCAAAGGAATGTTAGGCCATTAAGAAAAATAACAGGTTTAACAATATTGTAGACCAAATAACAGGGAGAATGGAAAGCTTAAATTGCTTTTTAGAAGAACCTGCAATATCCACAGCCATGAATTACTAACTCTTGTCTGAGGGCAGATAAAAATAGGCTTAAGACAGTGTACTGGCCATATTTAGAATATTCAGTCAGAGAGTCATGACAAACATCTGGCAGTGATTCTTTTTTGAAATTTTTTCTTAGACAACAAGGCACTGGCTAACTATGCTCAACAGCATTTAGGTTCCAGTAGTAGGATATCTAATAGGATTTGAAAGAGCCCATCCTCCCACATTCTGCATTTTAAAAGCTGTTAATACTTTTCACAATGTAGAAAACAGATTCTGAAATATGAGCAATGTGTTGCAAAAGAATGGTTAAAAAAGCATCAAAACTTTTTCAAATGAGTGTTTTTGTTACAAAAAAACCCCTTAGTCTGATTGCTTTTTAGAGGTATTAGAAACACTAGACATTTGCCATAGCCAGTCCAAAAAGTATGATATATAGAAGGCAGGTATTGTCAAATAGTAATATTCTAACACAACTGATTCTAAAAGGTTCAAGATTTACATCTTCTTTTCTTCCCATTAGTCCTTCATACAGCAAAGCTTGCTGCTGCTAACATATGTTCATATGTACCTTTCCTCTAGTAAGCAGCTGATTTTTCTTTTTGTAAAACCACAGGAAATAATAGGGTAGAGTTAAGGCTTCCAGATTACTTCCTGTATAGCTACATTTGAAAATCTTTTAAAAATCACAAACAGTTCCTGGTTTTCAGGTCTCAGAATGTGGTGAGTCATGGCCAACCATACAAAGTTTAGATTTCAAGTAAATCAGATGGCTAAACATTGATCTAAAACAAGCATATCTATAAGTAGTGCTTTTTAACCTGCTAAGTTATACAAAATCCTCACAAAAACAGAAACATCTGAATATTCCAACCTAAGTTAACAGAAAAATACTTCAGAACAAATATTAAGCAATAATTAAAACCAAGCAAAAATATATCTCAAACTTACCTCAATATCAAGAACCTCCACAGTATTATCCAAAAGCTTTATTTTGATTTGCAGAGACCTCTCGTGTGCTTTAGCTGGTGCTGATGCTATGGCAGAGGAGAGGTTTTGTCCTGGTTCCAAAGTACTCACTCCAGAATTTTTCTGGACTCCCAAACGAGAACCTGGAGTCTGCAGTACTCTGTAAGTGCCTTCTATTTCCCCCATTTTCACCTTCAAACAATAATCCAATAACCTAACAGGGAAAAATATACATCAACTTAAGTGTTTTGTTTTTGTTTTAATGCATGCATTTTGCAGAAAAAATGTGATGCTGGTGTATAGCTTGTGGAAATGTTTTTTCTTGGAATTAATGAAATTGTTCACTCAGTGGTAAAATGTTAATTCCTGTTAACATACAGCTACCAGTAGCTACAAGTTTGATCTGATTACTGAGATATCAAAATAGGGCTTAGTATACATCTTCAGAAGACCTGTTCAGTCTCCATATCTATTTTAAAGAAGGAGAGAAAGTATAGAACTCATGCAACACAAGTCAGGATTTCCCCTAAAGATGAGAACAGCAGGGTAACAGAATTCATGAGGTCGCCATAAATCAACAGGCAACTTGAACGGACGTGCATACAATAATATTAATACCACAAAATGAAAACACTAATATTAACAGTGTAGCCTGGAAACCACGCAATACCCCAAAAATGAATAGTCCACAATTTAGAAATACTCCAGTATTATCACCTGACTTGAAATACTACAAACAATAAAACACTAGCATACTTAAAATCACAGGATAATAAATAAGTCTTTTCCAGGTGATAAAAATAAGTGTTCTGTCGCCGCTGGGCCTATAGCTAGTTGACTTTAGATATAGGATGTGTAACCTTTACCCAGCGGGAAGCCAGGGACCCTAGGAAAAGTTCTCAGAGGCTTCCTTTACAGAAGGAATCTTCAAGTGGCTTAAAAGGTACAACAAAGTCTTTTATTAATGAATCCAACAGGAATTGTAAAGCTTTCTTGGTAAGGAACAGGCACTATCTTCAATAACTTTCTTCAAAGGAAAATTCCCCTTTTTAACTTCTCCCAAGGCTAACTAAAATCCAACCCCCGCTGGTGTGGGCTCCTCTGCCAGGCCGAACTGCTTCTCGAAACACTGAGAGGACCTACCAGACAGGCAATGGATGTTCTTTAGAGTTGGCTGTCTTCCTGGAAACTCCCAAGGCTGTAGGAAGGAATCCCTGGAGTTCTTAGGAGACCCTTAAAGCTGTGGGAATGCTTCCCTGGTGTTCTTTCCCTGGAGCTCTTAAAGGTTGAAGCCTTTGTACAGGGAAGTAAACACATCCTATACATTGGCTAACCTTTCTGTGACTGACTGGAAAAGGCTCCCTTCCCTCCAAAAAGCAAAAAGGGGTGGGACCAGGGAACCTAACTATAACTGGCAGGTGGCTTACCCTATAAATGCAAATTATAACAGGAAACCCCCTGCTGCAAAATCCCAAGCATGGGATTGCACACAAACATTTAAACACAGCAAATAAATCTGGAGCTCCTGGAACAGCTGTTCCAGAACAATAAGTAAGCATTCATTTCATGAAAGTTATAGGACAGTTTCCATAATGTGGGCGAATAGACAGAGAAGGCCCTCTATAACACTGACAGTTGAAGGGGCACTTGCAGAAGGGCTTATGTATCTTTTATGTAAGATTGGGCATTTTGGAGTATGTCTTTTGCCACTGTGCCAATTTGTCACTTCATAGCAAAAAGAACACTAATGTACACTGACTGAGCAATTTCATTTAATGTAAATAGAGGATATAGTCCTTATAGGGAACTAAGACAACAGGAAATATAGCACACTGTAAGCAATAGGTAAAGTGCTAAAGTAACAAGTAATATAACTTTCTTCAGACACTGACATTTGTCTTTTTATGATTTCAGAAAGAACAAAGGATAACAATAATACAATATATACATCTAAATGCTAAACACACTAATGGTTGTACAAAGACCTAAACTTATTCAAAAGATGTATATGAACTTCAACTGCATTAACTAATACAATAAGCCTAATACAACCATCTAGAAAACACAGCCAATATAAAAGTTTATACAAAATGATGATATTAACTTACTAAATATGCATAGCAAACCATAAGAGCAAATGTTCCAAATACTAAAAGCAGGTAATAATCTACAATTACTCAACACTTTATAGCAAAAGAAGCAGACTAAAATACACAAACATATAGTACTTAACAGAAACATTAAATATTTCATATCATTCAGCTTGATAATTATACAAAGACACAACAAAACTCTGGTAATAATCCATTTAATGTCGTGTTTTTCTCAAGTTTACACTTTCTTACACTTTCTAGTTATCAAGATGTAATCATCTTGATAACTAGAAAGGTCATCTTAATAACTAGAAATAAATCAACTGGCAACTGTCTCTTACAATCATCCTACAATCTTTATCTATTGTTTCCTAAGAACTGTCAGTAGTTCAAGTGTGCCCAATAGCCAACTATCTATAAGCCAACTATCTATAAGCAAATATAAGAATGTTATATGAAATACTGTATGTGAAAAAGGTCAATATTAGGAATTCCATCATGTGTTTGCATACTACATGAGGACATATATGAACATGAACAACTGCATATACTCATTTTATTTTTATCCATGAACACACATAAATAAAAATAATACGCAGAAAATAATGTGTTCAGCCTATGGCTAGATAAGTCCCAATAGACTCGATATGGCTTATTCTCAAGCAAGAAGACACATTACTGTAACTTCAGATATCATTTTGTAACCCCAAATTATCAAGACCTTCTACAGTTTTTATTCAAGGTATCAATATAAATTGCAATATAAATGCATTAGGTCTGTTGCAACATAGTGGAATGAATTCAAGAGATAGAGTTTGCTGCAATTATTTGTTAGTGTCAGAAAACAGGCTACTAAATCACAATGCTGTACGACTCTTGTCTATTTATCATATGGACAGCTACATAAACCATAATATTCCAATTCACACCTTACATTTAAAGTGAGGCAAAGAGGGAAGTCACTACTCTGCCCAACTGTTGTGTAAATAACTATTTACATGGATTCATCATAATCTATTTATGTAGTCTAGTTAGTGTAATTTGACTTCATGGTGCATGTGTTTTTCAAGGAAGGGTGGAAGACACAACACTGATTGTAGCAGCAGTAGAATTTGTTAAAAGATAAGAGAAAGTTGAGTCACAGACATGTTAGGGTTGTCAAGTTTTCTAGCTCAAGATTGGATAAATCTCTATGTTGCCCAGTCAGATAAAGACTGTGGCCAGTACAAATGTCTCAAGAGAGTTAAATGTTTTCATGAGATGTTGTTAAAACTTGTGTTGGGTTTATACAAGCCTGCATCATGTCATCCTCTCTCAAATGCCTGCTGAATAGGAAAAGCAGACACCAGATAGCTTCACAACAGACAGATTCACCACTTCTGAAGCTATTTACTGTATACCAAATATGTCAGGGTTAGTCTATTATGAGTATCAGGGCCGTAGCCAGAAAAGGGGGGGGGGTGTTAAAAGTTCAACCCCACCCTGAAATATGCCAGGTTAAAAAAAAGAAACCTGGTTTACTCATAACTTGGTTAACCAGGTAACATTATTGAGTAAACCAGGTTTCGGAGGGTTAGAACCCTTAACCCCTCCCCCCTTTGGCTATGGCCCTGATATGACAAGCACTCATTTTTTAAAAGAGCAGATACCAGCTGCACTCACAACACATCAATCCCAGAGATTTGGTATGGAGCAAAATAGCCTCAGATGTGTGCATTGCAAGCATGATATGTGCACATTCTTCCTTTATAGATTACCAAAAAATTTGCATGAGGCATAATTTGGACTTCTCTACATGATCTGCTGATGAACAAAAGAGTAACACCATATCACATACGACCTGATTAGGTGGACAACCAGAGTTGAGTACCTATGGCTATTTTACTGCATACCAAATGCTCAAGGATTCATTGGTTTGTTTTGGTGGGAGCATGACTGACACACGCATTTCACAAATCAATAAATATGAGATTTGGGGAAGTCTAATACAGAACTAGACTTTAACTCCTAAAATAATGGACATCCGATACAAATTAGCACACCAAGTAATTGTTACACATATAGCTTGAACAGAAACTACAGTTCCTCCTCTTTCACATTTCAAAAGGAAAACAAGTGAAATGTTGTGAGAGATATATTATCTTGTAGTTTCTGTAGCATTTTCTCCTATGTCTGAAATTTAGAGATGTCAAAAGTTGGCACATTTTACTTATCCCACCCCAAATTGATGTAAGAATTGTTTTGTTGTGTAGATTTTGGATATTTTCTTAAATATACTACTTTACATGATTTTCTGTTAGAAATATACTTTAGTCTTTTGTTTGTTGCCTAGATACTCAGAAACGAATTGTAAACTGAGTCAAAAGCTCACCTACTTTATTACTGCCCAAGGTTGACTATGTTGAGTGAAGGAAACGAGGGAAGAATATGAGCCCTTAGTGGAAATACTTTTCAGGACACCAAAGTTATGCACTGAAAAACAGAGTAAAACCTGTCCAGATTTCTCAGTAGGCCAGATCTGCCTATGTGTCTAATCCAATTGCCAGTTCCAACTAAAGTGGCCAACTGAAATGTACACCAGTGTAGGATTAATATTCACCACACATTCACTGGATCAACTCTTGTTGGGACTAGCAATTGGATTTGGATTTTAAAGGTAAGGTTTCTATATCTCCCAGATGTAGTAGAACGGTTTTCTGACAATATTAGAGCTTTTCCCCAACACAAGCTGTAAACATTTGCGCAGTTTAGAATTACATGTAATAATGCACAGGTTTTCTTAAGTTAGTGACTTTAAAAGGGCTTGACAGCAACATGAGAAGTAAAACAAGATCCACTAGAACTTCAAGTTCCAATCTAGTGTCAATCTCAACTGCTACTCTCTGCAAAGCAGTCATCAAGGTATGCGAGATGAAGGAAAATATTCAAGAACTTGGGACCTTTCTTTCATGTCAAAAGATGTTATCGACATTTTAAGGTCAATGATGCCCATACACACACAATATATCCTTAAGACTGCTTTATTGTTGTTCATTTGAGGATTTTGTGTCTTCATTTTTTCAATGCTCATCCCATGAAATAATGATTTGTTATGAGTATATTATAACCCATGTGGAACTAGAATATAATGCCTTCTATTTCAAAGAGAAAATTTTCAGCATTTTCTACTATAAAGTGTAGGCCTTTAAATGTTATGGACCATGATGCTAAAGAAGGCAGATATATATCAGAAAAATATGCTATAGCAGCACATTATGCATGCTTATTTCAACCACATAACAACGTGCAGTTCCTCCACTTTAAATCTCTTCAGATGCCCATAACATGGGCATTTTGTATTACTGTATAAATTTTCTCCAACTTGAATGTAATGGTTTAACAATTTAATACTTTGAAGTCTCATATGAAAAAAGCTGCAGCTTGGGCAATCACTCCAAACTGAAGATTTTCTAAATAGAAAAAGTGCATAATTGAGGATCACCATAAACTACACACCCATCACATAAGCTGTTCATCATATATTGCACAAGCCACCTACAGCTTCACTGTAATGCTATATTCATGACAAGGAATATCAACTTATATCTTATAAACAACAAAACATTTTCCAAGGGCAAATCTCTGATCCACAATGTGACCATTACATTTTAGTCAACCATGTATTAAAAGACACCTATGGGATCTTCAATACAGCTAAATGGTATTAAACAATGTACGGCAAAATGGTAGAAATCAGAAAACAAAATGTTTTGTTCCAGTGGCCAAATACAATCTTTAAATCTACCATCGTGTGTTATTGGTGTACAAACCTTCTGGCTTATTCCTCTGTGAGAGAAATCCAAGCATATCATTTAAAATCAACGTCTTGGAAAAACTGACATGCTGGAACCAAGTCCACCATAATGAGAGCCACGCGTGCCAGATTTGTCAATAACAACCCGGAAAGAGTAGGCTGGGGTAGACTGAAAGTCTCAAAGGCATCTAATGTTTGTTTGTTTTTTTAGTGAAAGAAACGCATCTCAAGATGCATCTACACCAGACATAGGCAAACGTGGGCCCTCCAGGTGTTTTGGACTTTAACTCCCACAATTCCTGTAAGTCTCTGGCCCTTTCCTTTTCTCCCTCAGCCACTACAAGCATTTATTGAAAGAGACCCCAAAGGATGTTCTCTCAAGATGCAGCTACACCAGGCATGGGCCAACTTGGACCCTCCAGGTGATTTGGACGTCAACTCCCAGAATTCCCAACAGTCTCAGGCCCTTTCCTTTTCCTCCTCAGCTGCTTAAGCATTTATTGAAAGAGACTCCAAAGGATGTTCTCTCAAGATGCATCTACACCAGACATGGGCCAATGTAGGCCCTCCAGATGTTTTGGACTTCTACTGGCTGTTAGGAATCGTAGGAGTTGAAGTCCAAAACACCTGTAGGGCCCATGTTGGCCCATGTCTGGTGTAGATGCATCTTGAGAGAACATCCTTTGGAGTCTCTTTAAATAAATGTTGAAACAGCTGAAGTCCAAAAGACTAGGTCTATCAGGGCCCAAGTTGGCTCATGCCTGCCCTGCTGCATCCTTTGCTCTGTCTTCCCCAAGTGGAGCACCTCAGAATCATAGAGCTGGAAGAAACCACATGGACCATCTAGTCCAGGGGTCCTCAAACTAAGGCCCAGGGGCCGGATGCGGCCCTCCAAGGTCATTTACCCGGCCCTCGCTCAGGGTCAACCTAAGTCTGAAACGACTTGAAAGCACACGATAAAACAACAATCCTATCTCATTACCCAAAAGTAGGCCCACACTTCCCATTGACATACTAATAAGTTTATATTTGTTAAAATTGTTCTTCATTTTAATTATTGCATTGTTTTTCAGTGTTTTTTGCACTACAAATAAGATATGTGCAGTGTGCATAGGAATTCATTCATGTTTTTTTCAAATTATAATCCGGCCCTCCAACAGTTTGCAGGACTGTGACCTGGCCCTCTGTTTAAAAAGTTTGAGGACCCCTGATCTAGTCCAACCCCCTGCCATGCAGGAAAAGCACAATCAAAGGACCCTTGACAGATGGCCATCCAGGCTCTGTTTAAAACAGGGGTTCCCCACATGTTTTGGCCTTCAACTCCCAGAAATTCTAAGAGCTGGTAAACTGGTTAGGATTTCTGGGAGTTGTAGGCCAAAATACCTGGGGCCCCACAGGTTGAGAACTACTGTTATAAAAGCTCCCAAGGCAGGAGCTTCCACCACACTCCGAGGCACCTGTTAACCTTTTGGGAGAAGACTGAGGCCCTGGGTGAGTAGTTCTGCCTTGTCCCAATCACCTGTGTGAAGCATTTCCTTGTTCTTTTGTTAGGGACATAAAAAAATAATATTATAATCATTCTATATTGTAAATCAGGCCTGGGCCAACTTGGGCCTTCCAGGCGTTTTGGACTACAACTCCCACAATTCCTAACAGCCTACCGGCTGTTAGGAATTGTGGGAGTTGTAGTCCAAAACGCCTGGAAGGCCCAAGTTGGCCCAGGCCTGGCTTAGATGCATCCTGCCTGGTGTTGACAGATAAATACAGCGCCAACGACATTATATGGCAGTGTAAACCAGAGAGTTATGAGGAAGGCATTAATCTCGCTTTTAAAAGCGTTCCTACGGATCATCGCATAGCCAAGAAGTCTCAAGCACAGGAGACGAAGTTGCTGAAACTTCCCGCAACGCCTCTCCTGAAGCGGGCCGCGTTTGAACCCCAGGCACCGGGGAGGCTCTGCTTTGAACTGCCCCTTCTCTCCTCACAGGCAGGCAGGCCGGCCCTCGGCGCGGCTCTGAGGAAGGGCCCGCCGGGACAGGGACGGACTGACGGCCTCCCCTTTCCTTTTCCCCCTTCCTCACCTGCTCAAACCGACGACGGCGGCGACGACGCCTCGCGCCCAACTCCGCGCTCGCGCCTCCAACGCTTTGGCGCGCGCCCCCTCCACCGCCTCAGGAGGGCCAGCGCCGTCCCCGCCAAGCGCGCCTTGCCATTGGCTGACCCGCGCTCCCCCGAGGCGGGGCTTCTATCCAATTCAGAGCTCCTCATTGGAGGGATGGGCCATATCTCCAAAGTCTAACACAGAGGAGTGGGGGAGGTGCAGTGAGAGTGAGGCGGTTCCAGTCAGGGAGAGAGAGAGAGAAGGGCGTGTCACTGAGAACAGGAGCCACTTCCCAGGCGAGGCGACATTTCTGAGGTCTATTACAGACAGGCCTGTAGCCAGGAGAAAAATAATAATTCGGGAGAGGTTGAAACTTTTTCCCCAGAGATGACTTTTCAGGCTAGTGCCTCCTGATCTGGCAGGAGATCTCAACAAGGCCCTGAAATTACCATCATTGTGCAAAATTTCCTCACAGGTAATCTATATATATAATCTATATAAATAAAAATGTAATGTTCGTTTGTGGGATTAACATAACTCAAAAACCACTGACCAAATTGACACCAAATTTGGACACAATACACCGATCAGGCCAACGAGTGACCATCACTCATAAAAACACTGAAAAACACAGCAGAAGGGATCTTGTGGGTTTTTTCGGGCTATAGGGCCATGTTCTAGAGGCATTTCTCCTGACGTTTCGCCTGCATCTATGGCAAGCATCCTCAGAGGTAGTGAGGTCTGTTGGAACTAGGAAAATGGGTTTATATATCTGTGGAATGGCTGGGGTGGGGCAAAGAGCTCTTCTCTGCTGGGGCTAGGTGTGAATGTTTCAACTGACCACCTTCATTAGCATTTGAAGGCCTGCCTGAGCCTGGGAAAATCTTTTGTTGAGAGGTGTTAAGATGTGCCTGGTTGTTTCCTCTCTGCTGTTTTGCTGTTGTAATTTTAGAGTTTTTTAATACTGGTAGCCAGATTTTGTTCATTTTCATGGTCTCTTCCTTTCTGTTGAAATTGTCCACATGCTTGTGGATTTCAATGGCTTCTCTGTGTAGTCTGACATGGGGGTTGTTGGTCAGAAAGGAAGAGACCATGAAAATGAACAAAATCTGGCTACCAGTATTAAAAAAAATCTAAAATTACAACAGCAAAACAGCAGAGAGGAAACAACCAGGCACATCTTAACACCTCTCAACAAAAGGATTTTCCCAGGCTCAGCCAGGCCTTCAAATGCTAATGAAGGTGGTCAGTTGAAACATTCACACCTAGCTCCAGCAGGGAAGAGCTCTTTGCCCCACCCCAGCCATTCCACAGATATATAAACCCATTGTCCTAATTCCAACAGACCTCACTACCTCTGAGGATGCTTGCCATAGATGCAGGTAAAACGTCAGGAGAAATGCCTTTAGAACATGGCCCTATAGCCCGAAAAAAACCCCACAAGAACCTAGTGATTCCAGCCATGAAAGCCTTCGACAATACACCAGAAGAGACTTAAAAACAAAAATTACATTTCAACACATGTGCAAAACCACACACACACACACACATATATGCAAGCACACACATAGATATACAGATACACAAATATATACACACACAAAACACATATATACATACTAGCGGTCCCCTGCCACACATTGCTGTGGCCCAGTCTGATGATCTGGAAAATAAAGTAATGAGAAAGTGTTGGTTTCTTATATATGTAATGTCTTTATGCTTGTAGGTAAACAGTATATCTTGCTGTTTCTTTGCCAGTGTTGATGTGGAGATTGTCTGGTTTGCCTACTCTGGAACATGCAACATATAATTGTCCTTCTTTAGGGGTCCCTTTCAAATCTTTGAAACTGCATCTGTCATATACATATGTGTGTGTGTGTGACTGGCTGGATGGCCCTTTGTCAGGAGGGCTTTTATTATGTTTTCTTGCCCTGGTGAAGGGAGTTGGACTGGATGGCCTTAAGGTAGCATTTCTGAACCTGGAAAGTCAAGGCCCCAGGGGGAGAGGTCACCAGGGGGGTGGGGTCACAAGGGGGAGTGACCAACAGAAAACACAGTATTTTCTGTTGGTCATGGGGGTTATGTGTGGGGTGTTTGGCCCAATTTCATCATTGGTGGGGTTCAGAATGCTCTTTTATTGTAGGTGAACTATACATCCTAGTAACTACAACTACTAAATGTCAAGGTCTATTTCCCCCAAACTCCATCTGTGTTCACATTTGGGCATATTGAGTATTCCTGTCAAGTTTGGGCCAGATCCATCATTGTTTGAGTCCACAGTGTTCTCTGTATGGAGGTGAACTACAATTCCAAAACTCAAGGTCAATGCCCACCAAAACCTTTCAGTATTTTCTGTTGGTCATGGGAATTCTGTGTACCAAGTGATATCGAGCTCTTTTGTGGGGGGGTCTCCCAGCGGGAGGGATCCCTGAAGACCGCTAAAGGGGTCCTTTGACCTCGGTGAGCAGCCAGCGAAAGCCAATCCAAAGATCGAAAAATATTAAAAATTAATCTCACTGGAGGCTGAAGAGGTTCAGTGACCGAGGCGTTTATTTCTGCGATTCAGCTGAAAAGGATGCGATTGCAGTGATCATTCACATACAAGCATGGTTTTACAGAATTTCCAGGCATTTTTATAGCGTACAGACAAAAGGAAACATTTTCAAAAATCCCGCCCGCCCTCTGCCGGCCGGCTTCGCTCTGATTGGCTGGCCGTGGAACAGCTGGGAGGAGGCTTGGCGGCGCGCCTCGCCTCCTGTCCAATCAGCGGGCTCTGCCGCCTCCAGGGGGCCAATCAGCGCCTTCCTAGCGCCTCCGAAGATGGTCCAATCGGCAGCCAGGAGGCGGGACGAAGCTTGACAGCTCAGAGGAAATGATGAGCCCAGGGGGCATCCGCCAGCTGAAATGCGAGGCTTTGTCCTCACCGGCGGGGTGACAGAGAGGGGAACAATGAGCTTCCTGGTTTATGATTGGATTTGGGAGGAAATATGAAAAGGAGCTTTTGATGGTATTTGGACCTCAGGGCCTTGTAAACAAGGGGGATCAACAAATACCTAAAAATGATACAATCAGTCTTTTATCCCTGAGTTTCTGTTGACCCTTCTCTCATCTTACTGTCTGCTCTGAAAGTTAGTTTGAGAAGGGGGTCAACCGCACGGCCCATGCAAATGTAAATATGAACCATCTCGGGAGGACAAAGGGTTTCCTCCCTGTCACAGTAATCCATAGGTCACATTCCTTTTGGGGGCAAGGGTCAAAGAGGGGAAGCAGGGAGGGGAACCAGAGTACATTTCTTATAATATTTCATTACATACATTTCATATATTTTCACATTCCATGAGGCAATCCCATCCCCATCCCCAGCGAAAGTTTATTAATAAAAATATTCAGTCATTTTATTATTGGAAGAAATTCATGGTCTCCTGGTGAAGGCACGCGGAAGCGGAGGCTGCTTGCGAATCGGAGCAAGCCTGATTAGAAGGTTTGGGTCCAAAAATGTGGCAGAAAACAGTCCGGGAGGTGGAGCAGAAAGTCAATAGGAGAGGGCAAATAAGAGAGTCCAAGGAGGGTTTCCGGGTGGTGATTGATGGGGCAATGTCCTTTGGGAAACTACATTTCCCCAATTGGAGGCCGGGGCCTATGCCTGGCCACCTTCCCAAGACCCCTGCGGGTGGCCGCAGTGGGTCCCTGGCTGCTGGATCCGAGCGGGAGCGAACGCTGCCAAGGAGAAATGAAGAGCCTGGCCAGTTTGACAATCAGCTGTTTCTCTGCAAGATAAAATACTCAAAACAAAACTAATTTCTCCCCGGGTGAAGGGGCCCAAAACGAAAAAAGGGAGACAGCGGTTAGTCTTAAAAGTAGTTGTAGAAAAATATAAAATTGGAACGGCGGCGATCCGCCATTTTAGGTATTTTCGTGGATAAGGGGGTCTGAAATGGCGGTTTCTGTATCCGCGGTCTAGGCGAACACAGATTCGGGGTCCGGAGGGCGCCCGGAGGCGCCTCCCGCAGGCTCACGGCTCTCCGGAGCCCAGAAAAAGGTTTATTGCAAGGTTATTTTGTTTGAGTCAAGAAGGGATACAAAAGTAGCATGCGGAGAGATAAAAAGTTGCAAGTTTCAAGCATCTTTATTAGGGAAATGATACAAAGTAGGGAGTAGGGGAAGCTGAAGGAAAGCTGCAGGCATTCCTGGTTTAGAGCTGGCTGCTGGGGCACATTTCATCTGTTGGTCCCAAAACTTGACCCAGGAACTGCGGAACTCCCCCGCTGCAGTTCACACCAATGTGAAGGCGGGGCTCCCCGCTGCGCTCGGGCTCACAAGTTTGGATCAATTCCATTGTTGGTGGAGTTCAGAATGCTCTTCGATTATAGGTGAACTATAAATCCCAGCAACTACAACTCCCAAATGACAAAATCATAATTTTCTGAGCTATGGTCACTCCTTGTGTTGTGAGACATTTTGTTGCCAAATTTGGTGTGATTTCGTTCATTAGTTCTTTTGTTTTTAAGGTACTCATTATGCACAGAGCATTTATATATATATAGATACACAGACTGGACCACAGCAACGTATGGCAGGGCACAGCTAGTAGAATAATAAAATCATAGTTAGAAGAGACCTCGTGGGCCATCCAGTCCAACCCCATTCTGCCAAGAAGAAGGAAAATCGCATTCAATGCACCCCTGACAGATGGCCATGCAGCCTCTTCTTTAAAAGCCTCAAAAAATGAGCTTCTACTACACTCCAGGACAGAGAGTTCCACTGCTGAACAGCTCTCACAGTCAGGAAGTTCTTCCCGATGTTCAGGTGGAATCTCCTTTCCTGTAGTTTGAAGCCATTCTTCCGCGCCCTAGTCTCAAGGGCAGCAGAAAGAAAACAATCTTGCTTCCTCCTCCCTGTGACTTCCCCTCACATACTTATGCATGGCTCTCATGTATAAGTATGTCTCCTCTCAGCCTTCATCATGTCTCCTCTCAGCCTTCTCTTCTGCAGCCTAAACATGCCGAGCTCTTTAATCTGCTCCTCATGGGGCTTGTTCTCCAGACCCTTGATCGTTTTAGTCGTCCCCCTCTGGACATATTTCAGCTTGT